ATATTCACTTTAATTATTTCTTTTACTAATAATAATTAACTTTTAAAAATTTACTTTAATTATTTTTTTTTTACTAATAATAATTAATTTTTAAATATTCACTTTAATTAATATATTTCAATATATCGTCTCAAATTTTTCAAGTCGCTCGCGGACATCAACCGTCACCTTCAAAAGACTTCCTCTCAAAAAAAAAAACTGCAACCAATATCTCTATTTTATATCATTCTCCTCCCGTAATTTAATCCGTTGGACACTCATCCCGTACACTTTTCGGGGTCGTTCCTTGAACCTCCAGTTCATGTTATTTTTCTTTCCACCTTCCGAACACTTTTTTCTTTTTTCTCTTATTTCAATACTTGCATTACGCATTGCTCTGGCAGCATTGATCATTTCAACTTCCAATTTGGCCAAACTTTTCGCCGCGACTCTTGATCAAAACAAAAGAAAACAAAAAAAAATGTACAAAAGCTTTTTTTTTTTTTTTCTTGCAAATTTTGACATTTCGCTGTGCGTGCAATGCACAGGCTAATTTTAATTTATAAAAAAAAATAAAAATAAAAATAAAAAAAAAATGTGTAGACGGTGTGTCGCAATATTACTGCCGCGAATTTGGACAAGGAAGGAATGCTCACTTTACAAAAGGAACCACAGTGAGACAAGCAGGTGCTGCACTGAGACTGCCTGGACAACGTGGGACATGCGGGGTAATATCATGTTGTTCATTTTCTTACTCATGTTAGCCTATCACCTCCTACTCACACAGGCATACACAACAGAATATTACTTATATTGTATTGATATATTTATATATGTATTTTACAATTTTACATAACTCTAAAACGAGATTAACTTTCAATTATATTTCTCACTAGAACAATTTTTTTTGTTTCTTTTTAATGTTATAATCGAATTATTACCTGTTTCAGTAAAAGTTTTATGCCCAATATTTTTAATATTAATTAGTTCTTGGGATCAAGGGTAAAACCCAGATGCAGGTGTAACGCAAAATAGTTCTTTTGCCACGGAGCTTCCTCCTGCGTAAGACCACATCCCACACGAGGCGATCCTGTCAAGCTGAACATAGTGGATCTAGACCAAAGGAGGTCGATAAATAATCCTTGTGAACGAAACCAGCTAGTTATCCATCTGAAGTTAAATATATGCACGAAGAACAACAATTGTCTCGGATAAAAATAACAGCAGCACTAATGACGGCCCGGCAATGAATAATGACAAACGATCCCAGAAACGACATACCAAAAAATATATGGTACATGTGGCCTGTTGGAACGTAACTTCAGTATCAAACGAAGATCGCAAACTCCTTATTGAGATGAACAAGCACAACATCGATATCAGAGTCCTGTCCGAAAGAAAATGAAAGGGAAAAGGCAATGATGTTCACGAAAATTACGTCTTTATATATTCTGCCAAAAACAAAGAAGAACGTGCTTCGTTAGGTGTAGAAACACTCATTCGCGACAAATAGAGAGACAAAATAAAATCAACAAACTATATAAACGACAAATTACTACAAGTTAGCATTTAATAATAAAACCAGAACCCATTTTCTGTGTATATATGCGTCGATATCAGCAAGCCACAAGGAGAGAAGGTCAAGTTCTATAGCATGCTCCAACAAACGATGGACTCCATACCCCCAGGAGATGAAATCATGATCCTTCGAGACTTTTACGCACGAATTGTAGACCAAGCTGTAGACGGTGTCAACAACCGCTTCAATGAGGATCTCTGAATTTCTGTAGTTTGTGACAAAAGCTAACAACTGCACTTACTTAAAGGAAAGTATTAGTATGGTATATTAATTTTATATTGTAAACCGCCCCTGGATTCTGTAGTAACGGCTGTATGGTGTGGTATTTGCATGCCAATAGAATTGTTGCTAGTTGTTTACACCAAATTTGGGATCGGTAAATATTCTAAATTTGGGGTAAGGCATGCGGTTTTTGTTTTTGAGAAAGGTAGAACAGTTGGTTTTGATTCAGCACAAAAGAACGAGTAGAGATTTTTATAAAATAAAACTAAGTGAATTAATTTATATTTTTTACAGATATGTTCAATATTATATGATTTGGATATATGGTATGTATATTTAAATTAATAACAGATAGGTATTGAAAGATTCATACGCATATTAACATTCAAGATACATATGTATGTTCATGAATTATAGGAAATATAGACATGAACAAACTATGTATCCACATTGGCATACTAATAATACCAAGATTATTATAGTTTTTCCATGAATGTATAATTATACAGATATGGATATATCAAGTTATCCGCATTATACTAACATTTTTGATTATAGAATAGAATTATATAGATATTATGACTAATAATGCATACTAATAATCAAGATGCACATGGTTTTGTTCATGAAATATAATTAAACATAGATATGAACAACCTTTGTATCCACATTACACAGTAACATATATTGTATAGGTATTTGTTACCTAGATATAGGCTGTTGGTATTGCATTATCATGTACTAATAATTCATTTATTATTTACAATTCATTGATTAATAACCTCTTTTATTATTTATTTTATCTTATCTTATTTTGTTTTACCAATTTCTATTATGTACTCTATTTTATTTATTTATTCAAGTAATAGGCTATTAAAGCACCCCGACCTAAAAGATCTATTGCGCGCCTAAAGGTCCAACTAGGACAATTTCAGAATATTTATAAATCTTGTAATTGCTGTGGGCTTAATTTTACCTATTTGACTTGGGACTAAGATCCCGCTTCCAAGGTAATCGAGTCAACGTCTTGCCACCGCTGGGCAGTTACATAGAACATGCTCTGATGTTTCCTTCTCCTCATGACAGAGTCGACAGGAGTCACTTTCTACCACACCTATAATCTTCATGTGGTAATTAAGTCTACAGTGTCCTGTAAGAAGTTCAGTGTAGATTTTAAAATCGTTTCTGCTAAGGCCAAGCAGATGTACTCCATGGTATTTTATCTATATTTTATTTTGTTTATTTATTTATTATTTGAATTATAATATTGTATTTATTATTTCTATTATTATTATTTATTAATTTTATTTTATTTAATTAATATTATTTTGCTTTAATATGTATTATATATATTATTACTGTTACTTTTATTGATAATTGTATTTATTTAATTATAATATATATATACATATATATAGTTGTATTTGTATTATAATTTTATAATTGATTTTTTTAATAATCTGAAGATATAAATAAGGCAGTTTATAGAAGGGTTGTTTAGAATAAGGCAGACCCTTCTGTTGTTTTATATTGGTTTGCTTTGAATTTTTGAGTACACCTTTTTGTGTACGTCTATTTACCTAATTTAGGTTTGTGTAAATGCGCAATTAGTTTGCGTATAATGTGATTATAGTGTATGTGAATATTTAATATAATTTAGATATATTTTGATATATTTATGATAATAATATATATTGTATATTGTGGATTTTATAATCTATGAATATGTAAGTAATATTTTTAATTTCATTTTATTTATTTTGTTTTGTTTTTGTTTTATTTTTATTTTTTTACACATATGATTTGACGACAATTTTTAATCCATTCTAATGAGTTCGATTGGTTATCGGACGAAACGCGTCAATGGAAACCTTTTTAGTAGTTGACTTTGTTAATGTATGTATATATATATATGTATATACATATGTATATATTGTAAGGATGGAAATTTTAACTAATTTCCAACCTATATACAATCAGTGTGGAGTTGATATCTGCAATAAAAACTGGTTAATTTTTATTGGTAATTTAAAACGTAAATAACTCACCATAAACCCACCCCCGCATGCACGTAACTGCACCAAATGAATAAACCTACGATTACATTGAAAATGGAATAAATATAAAATATATTTAAACAAATAAATAATACACTCACTTTATTTATTATTTATATTAATACTTTCAATATTTGTAATATTTATTTATTTATTAATAAATAAATAAAGAAATAAATACAAGAATACACGAAAACACAAAGCACGGAAATTACACCCAGGCGAACAACAGCAGCACAAGACAACAAGTATCAAAAATACCAACGGCAAATGTACCGATGCGCTACAGGAAAAGCTTCGGTCGTTTGAGTACAAATAAACGAGCATTGTACAAGCAAAGGACTTGTTGGGAAACTCTCAAAGGTAGTAATACGTCTTTGCGAAACAAGTCAGTAGAACTATAGCGTCAAGATAGTACATACGTCTTGACTAGTAGTCTTGTATAGCGTCAAGGTAGTACATACGTCTTGGCAAGTAGATTGTATATGTAGTCTTATATGTAAATCAAGCAAAGGTAGTCATGACACATCTTGACTAGTAGGATTTTCTGTAGGTTTGAGTTAGGGTAGTAATACGTCCTAACATTAATGAATGCTAACACCAAGGCTGTAACCTAGCATTACTCTTCTAATCTCCAGTTAACGACGTCTTCTGACAAAACATCAAGATTAGCACGAGTAGTGTCGTCTGACAGCAACATTTCAGGCACGTGGCAACAACAATCGGAACAATCATTGAAGCACAATTATTCCAAATAATCGTAGTCATCAAATTGGCAAACCAGCATTATATTATAATTATATTAGATTGTAAAACCTTATTTTATTTTAAATTCTCCTAAATAAATAATTGAATTACTACATCACATTGTCTTTGACTTCCAAAATAAAAATTCTATTGCAACGACCCCTGGACGACGGCTGAGTATACCTCAGCATCATCAGCGACAGAAAGTGTGTCGTTACACTTTATATATATATATTTTTTTTTTTAACGAGGTGTAAAGCATCGAAAGCCCAGTCAGTGCGAGACTTTAACTCACTAAAGTCACCCCGATGTCCGACGGTTAGCCCTCTCGGGATCACCGATTTGGTATTTCGTCAAGAGGCCGTCCAGAGCACAAAGCTCAAACGTCAGTTTTTGTCGTCATTTCATTATATCCATCATAGTTGCAATGATACATGCACTGCAGCTGTTCTTCTTTCCTCTTCCTGAAGTCGCAAACGCCGCATAATTTGAGTTGCGAATGTTTTAACTGCCTTCCATTTAAAGCTACTTAAGCACATTTCATGTACAATGCTGCTAGGAGATGGTAGATATCCTAGGGCCTCCACAAGTATTTCCCGTTCTTCATTAAACCGTTCGCAGCTAAAGGCTACATGTTCTGCACTTTCTACGACGTTGTGGCAGTTTGGGCAGTATGGACTATCTGACAGATGAAATCTGTAAAGATATTCTAAAAAGCCTCCGTGGCCGCTCAATATTTGACTCAGATTATACTCAATTTCACCATGTTTTCTTAACACCCATTCCTTAATGTTAGGTATAAGTGTATATGTCCAACGTCCCTTAGAGGACTGCTCCCATCTTTGCTGCCATTCTCTAAATGAATATACGCGTTCGGCAGATTTTTGATCTATCGTAGGTGTTATGCCTTGCCCGCCATAAAGACGGCCTAACTCTTTTGCATGTATGTCAACTGGCAGTTTTCCAGCAATGACGCAGATTGCATCATCAGAGACTGTTCTATAAGCGCAGGCAACCCGTAACGCACTGCGTCTGTATATTTGTGCTACCAGACGTAGCTGATGCTTTTTTGCTGCTGCCCATATAGGAGCAGCATAAAATATAATAGAGTCCGTTACAGTAGATAAAAGACGCCTTCTTTCGCCCTGAGGACCACCTGTATTAGGAAGAATTCGCGTTAATGCACTATTCACTGCCGCTGCCTTAGAGCTTACTGCTGTAAGGTGCTGTTTGAAGCTCAGTCTTGCATCGATTATGACTCCAAGGTATTTTATTGCTTCTTGCGATAATATTTCATGCCCGCCAATTATGATTTTCATCTTCTTTTTCTGCTTTCTTGCGGTTATCAGTACTGCTTCTATTTTTTGCACCGCCAACTCCAGTCCTGCATTTTTAAGCCATCGTTGTACTCTTGCTGCTGCATCGTTACATTTTGCTTCTAAGTGATCAAGCTTTTTGTCAACCACCACTAGTGCGATGTCATCAGCGTATCCAACTATTGTCACTTTATCAGGAAGTCTTATTTTCAGGATTCCATCGTACATAGCGTTCCACAATGTGGGTCCAAGAACTGATCCTTGTGGAACCCTGCCAGTGACCTCATATTGTTTTCTACCTTTTTCTGTGTCATACTGCAGTATTCTATCGTTAAAGTAACTGCAAATAATGCGTACCAAATAATCAAGTACTTTCAGAGTTTTGAGTGCCAGTAGTATCTCAGACCAATTTGCTGAATTGAAAGCATTTTTAATGTCTAGCGTGATGACTGCACAGTATTTCATTGCAGTATATCCTCCGCTGGTAGCTTCCTTTGCAATATTTGTTACCGTTCTAATCGCATCTACCGTTGATCTAGCCCGCCGGAAACCGTTCTGCTTATCAGAAAGGCCATTGGGACCTTCCAGATACTGCTGGAGACGTTCACTTATTATTCGTTCAAAAACCTTCCCTATTGTGTCCAACATACGACCCAATATACGACCCAATGTTTGCATCACTTCTTCTGATGTCACTGGTGGTATGTTGGTATTCCAATTCACCTGAAACACCTGATCGGTCATTTTCTCCTGTGGAGGAAAAAGTGCCAGAACAACTTCCTTCAATAGAATTGGGCATGTGGGCTGTGGGGACCTCGGTCCTTTTACTTTCTGCATGACGATTTTGTAAGCCAGACCCCATGGATCTTCATCAGCACTATCTCGCATTTGCTTAAAGCATCGATTTTTGCTCTTTTCAATTGCTTTTTTAAGATCATGTTTTCGAATGCGATACTCTGCATATAGCTCATTGAAAGAAATATGTCGTCTAGCTCTTTGCGCTTTTCTTCGTGCTTTTATACAGGCTCTGCGAATATCAGCTATCTCGCTAGACCACCAATAAAGTGGTTGTCGTTTGCCACTATATTTGCATCTTGGCATAGATATATCACACGCAGTTTCCATTTGTATAGCTATTTGTTCCGCCATGTTTTCTGCTGTTGTTTTGGAAACTTGAGCATCCTCCCATACTATAGAAAAAGCTTCTGAATTGAAGGCTGATGGGTTCCATTTTTTCTGCCGCACACTTTTGTCTACTTGCTGGTTTACCGTGCTGCGTACTTCCAACATTATAGCCCTGTGGTCACTGTGAGTATAAATGGATTCCTCTACTTTCCATTTTGTGTTGTTTGCTGTGACGCGATCTGCAAAGGCCAAGTCAATTATTGATTTACCTCTGACGCAGTCGAATGTATAAACTCCAGGAGTATTCAGCAATACCAGATCCATTGCGGAAAATGTTTCCTCTAACAGTCTTCCTCTTGGGTTTGTGTATGTACTGCCCCAAGTTGTTGACCAAGCGTTAAAATCTCCAGTAATGAGAATAAGACGCTTCCCTCGTAATTCTAGTTCCATTGCAACCATCAAACGCTCAAAGTCTTCTAGAGACCATCTTGGTGGAGCACAGCAGCTCACCTGATACAGGCCTTCCATCTTCGAGATATATACCCTTTGTCTAGCATTTCTAGGTTTTTTTACCTGCGCTTGCTCGCCGATTGCATCAAGTAATTCTTCGTCTGTGTTCAGGTTTGTTATTAGGTCTCTGCACTGAATTGTAACGGTATGTGTTTTAAGATTGACCGTTGCAATAGATTCCAAGGCTTTTTCAATAGCAGAGTGGTAATCGCTTGACCCTCCATCTTTGCTCCTCTTTAGTTCTATGAGAAGCCCTCCATTTTGAGTTGGCCGCATGGTTCTGACATTTTCGCTCAGAGCTTTGAGCTCTCCACTGTCTTTCACTTTCTTTAGTATGTCCGCATATGTCGTACCATCCACCTTTTTTTCTATAAGAATTGCATCCGCTTTAGGTCTTATAGATCTTATCTTATTTTTGACTTTCGACGATTTTTCTTTTTTCTCGACTTTTGTCCATTTGTCAGACGGCATCTGCAGAGAAACTGTGTCAGCTTTTGTTTTCATGGCAGTGGGCGTATTGCGTTCCTGCTCCGAGCCTTTAGGGCTTAAGTCCACTCTCTTTCTTTTTTTTGGTGGTATTTCTATCGTTTCAGTCACTGTTGCTGGTAGCTTGCGTAACTGTTTTAGACCATCGGTTGGTCTGGATTTTCTTCTTTCGGAATCTAGCTCCGTACTAAGCTCCGTGTGGGTGCGTTTGATTATGCTGCACATTTTCCTGATATCACCGTGAACATTGCGGCGTGGTTCGACATATTGTATTAGTCCATCTATTTCTTTTCATAAGCGTTCAATTAATTCACTTATGGTAAGTACGGACTCGCCTGTAGCCACTGCTGGTAATATCAGTCTGTGCTGCGATTTTTTGTTTCGCCGTGCTGTGGTGACATTTTCAGTGTGAGCGGTTTCTGATTCTCCATTGTTTGGTTGCAACTCTGTCATTGTTAGTGCACCTTTTGTCGTACAACTGCTCGGTGCTACTGTTTGTGAAGGGGACCTCTCACTCCCGGAGTTCCTCTTCGGTGGTTCTATTTGTGTTGTGTGCATTATTGTGCTATTTGTTTCTTCTTCGTTTTTATGTTCTGTATTATATATATTTATCATTTTATATGGGCCCCAACTCGCAGCCGCTATCTCCGCACGTGCATGTAGTTTCCGTAAGTCTTATGGTAATCTATGTAAACAGGGAGGCCATACGAGGGTTGACTCTGGTCCTTATGGAATCCAGAGTTCAGAGATAGACTTCAATCCGGAATTAATAGGGAGTACTCTCAACCTAACCTACAAGGTCATCAACAAGATGACTACGCGCATTGAGCGCTATGTGAGACTTGCCAAGTTTTCGTGGGACGGAAGAGGCTACGGATCCTTCTGAGAGCCATTTTTGCAAGATTTCACTCCGCATACTCAGGTAACAGAGATTCGCAACCCCAGCCCATAACAAACTGTGTTTTCAACCTTATTTTCCGGTATGCCATAATCAGGAACCTTACCGGTCTCGGTTCCGATGCCTAACCATAGGCTTGTACAATATTTTTCTACATTCCAACGGTGGTGCTTCAGAGCCATTTTAAGAATGGTAATAGGCGCTGTACACTTCCATCTCCCACGGTGGTGCATTAGCCGCCCCCAATAAAGAAACTGTCGCTGTGCACATTTAGATCCCACGATGCCACCCCGGGGTGGGGGACGCTTACTGAAAGACGGCGTCTACTCGTCTTGTCACAGGGGCTTCACAGGGTCATTGTGATCTTTTACACCACACCCTCCGACGCCTGCCGGAATTTAGTCGCCTTTTACGACAGGCATGCCTTACCTCGGGAATATTCTAACCCCTATCCCGCAGGGGATGAATATATCCTACCAGATAGTCAAGTAGAGGGGTCATTAGAAGAAAAAGATAAAAGAGATGAAACATTAAAATCGCGACCGCACCGGCAGAGGCAACCGCCAAAAAGGTTAAGGGACTATTTGATGGGAGAGGAACTGTAGTATATTCGATCATGGCAACCCTGTATAAAGAAATAGATAAAAAAGGAAAAATACAAAATGCGTTGTTGTTCGTCGTTGTGCTTAAAGGAGTAAGCGTGCCGTAATTATTATTATTATTAATAGCAATTTGTAAATCTATATAACTTTAATCAATAAAGTATATTGTATTTTATATAAAGAATATAATAGTTTTGCATGTAAAATTGAACGGATCATGTTTGCTGAAACGCAGCTAATATGTATCTTTTCTCTCTTTTAGTTTTTTATAACCAATTTATTTTTCTTACAGCAAACAAACTTCAAAGTGTTTTTATAAAATAACTGCTTTTCATTTTCCCTCAAGGTATTAAAAGTACCAATCTCTAACAATAGCTGCATTTCAGCAAAGAATGATCCGCTCAATTTACATACAAAACAATAATAGGGTGAACCAGCTATTGAACTGGTTCACATTCTGGTTTAATGTGGAATGTATGTACAAACGAAAATGGAACGTATTTTATGCAACATGTCGTTGGCAATGCAATTTGAACATATGAATCGTTGCACTTAAAAACAGCGCTTTATTTTTATTATCCACTTCTAGTATTGATAATTTTTTATGTAATCTATCTCTAGCTCTTTTAATTATTCTCCACAAAAAATTTTTAATATGCTGAAAAAAATTTCAATTTCGCGAAACGTATTTGTATTTGCTATACACCACAAAAATATGATAATCTCCGTCTCTGCACTTATACAATTGTGACCACCAAGGTTATTTTGTATTTTTTGATTGGAATTTATAAACAAATTCATTGAAATATAATATCTATATATATAAAAGAAAGATGTGTTATTGTTACACCACTTATAACTCAAGAACGGCTGAACCGATTTAGCTGAAAATTGGCAGGGAGGTAGTTTAAGGCCAGGAGAAGGATATAGGCTGAACCGATTTAGCTAAAAATTGGCAGGGAGGTAGTTTAAGGCCAGGAGAAGGACATAGGATACCTGTTTATCCCGTTCACGACAAAGTAGGTTTTGAAATTATCAAATTTTTGATATAAGAAAATATTTTATTAAAATTTAACAGATAGAAATATAACTTAGTTAATGTGTTTTTAAAAGTTGTATTAGATCAATATAAGTTTGTGTTGCAATAAATATCGTTTTTAATCAATAAAACTTCCTGGTTGTTGCAAACTCAACAAAATAAATAATTAACAATTATAATGTATGGTATGGTTGAAAATTTGAGTTTTTAGTTTTTTAATAATGCCACGACCAAGACGATCGAATCTTTCCCGACAAAGCCGTAATGCAAGAAGAATACGAAATACTGCAAATTTAAGGACTGAAGGTCGAGCGAACAACAGAGGTCAACAAATAGATAATTTGCGATGTGTACTAAAATACACAAATAAATTATGAATGATTAATGTAGGTATTTTTTTTTTTTGTATTTTTTCCAATTAAAAAAAAACTGCTTATTTATTGCCTTTAAGGCGGAACAGAGTTCGCCGGGTCATCTACTAGTATATAATAAATAAAGAGCAATTTTGACAATTTTAACGTTGAATTTAAAATTGTTTCTGAAATCTTCATCGTAAAAATTATTAAGAGTTTCCATAAAATTCCCAATATTTCCATGCTTCCATGCTGATGTACTTTATCCCCTGAGCTTAATACACTTGAACGAGTGATTAGAAAGGGAATGGAAAGGTCAGTTTCACTGTCGCTCGATAATTTTATTATAAGCTGCAATTTTCATTTATTTACTATAGAATTAAAGTTAAGTTTTAAAGTAAATAATAAACGAAAACGTATCATAATAATTCAGACATTTCAACAGATTTTATGTATTTTCATATTTTTCAGATTTTTTATATATAAGTTGTTTTCAATTTTTCTTTTATCACCAAAATTATTCATACAAGTCAAAACAAAATTTTGTAAAAAAACACAGCTGACATGATTGATGCGTTGCCATTTATTTTCACATGTGATCCGTATAGTTTCAGCAAGGAAAACACAGATCGTTTGCTGAAACGCAGATAATATATCCCTACAACACATTTATATTATTATGTTCTAGTAATATTATAATGTTTTAGTAAGTACACCAAAACTTAAAATGAGTTAAAATCAAAAAAAACTTTCACACATTAGTAAAAACGCGATTTACAAACGATGGACTTTAAACTTTTAATATGAGTCATCAAACATTAAGTGACATCAAATATTATAGAAGCAATAATTGATCATAAAGCCAAATACGAACTGTTCTTGAATTGTCCAAGTTGATATCAACTTGATTTTGTTCATATTACGATTCAATATAAATATCAGATATTAATATTTTCACACAAATCTTTTTAATTTTAACTGGATTTGCCACAAGTTAAATAAATTATAAGTCAAAATATTGTGTCTTTATTGCCTTTTTATTTATTATATTTCACAAAAATGAATGTATAAAAATGTATCACAACGTTGCTGCCACTTCCGATCTCGCCGTATAACTTTGAATTGTCTGTCTGAAGGTGCCTTCAAATATGTAAACACGTTTGCAGATTTCATTGTATGAACGTTTTTGACTATGTTTGATGTCGTATTTGTACGCATTCCGTAAGGCCAGCAATAATAATAATAATAATGCGCCTTGCTCGACGTCTATGATTTCGAGCAGCCTCTTATACTGAGCATAGGCTGTCTATAAGCCGCTTTCACCTTTCGCACCGTAACGTCCAAAATGGTGTTTATTTCATTCAACGTTGACCTTCTCCATGTTGTTTTTAGACGGCCTCTTCCTCTATTACCTTGCGGGTTGTATACCAACGCCTGTTGACAAATTTCGGTGGGAGCTTTTCGAAGTGTATGCCCGATCCATCCAAATTTTCTTTTACGAATTTCAAGATTGACATCTCTAACATTTGTTCTGGTCCAAAGATCGTGATTTGACAGCGGTTAACAAATACTCTCAGCTTGCTTTGTATGTTTTCTGTAACAAACCAGGTTTCGCAACCATACAGGAGAACTGAAAGAACGCATTCTTTAAAGATTTTTATCTTTGTGCTTAAACTATAAGTATTGGAGCTCCACACTTTACGAAACCTTGTAAAATAATCAAGGGCTTTCTTTATTCTACTTATCACATCTTGCGCTATACCTCCATTTTCAGACACAATACTCCCTAGATACTGGAATTCATTTACGCGCTCAATGGTCTTCTTTTGTTTTCTGTGCATTGATTTTTAGTCCGACTTTGCACGACTCTAAAGATAGGTCATTAAGTTTCTATTGAATATCATCAAGCCGATGTGACAACTCGCATTTGTCGTCAGCATAGTCCAAACACTCTAACCTAGTGTACGGTGACAGCGGGTTCCATACAATACCTCGTACCTTTCCTTTATTTGCTCTCTTGGCCACTGCGTCAAGCACAATTAGAAACAGCAGTGGGGAAAGGACGCATCCTTGACGTACGCCAGAAATTGTACAAACGGGCTCAGACATTTTGTTGTCGTGTAAAACTGAGCACTTAAATTGATCATAGCTTTTTGCAATTACTGAGACTATTTTAGCTGGGACACTAATATTTTTCAACTCTGCCCATATGTAATTTCGATTTAACGAATCAATGAAAAGCAAATAAAGAGGGGATCGCATCTCTATAGATTGTTCTATGATAATTCTAAGACAGTTAATGTGGTCAACACAGGATCTTCCGCTTCTGAAAC